GGAAATATTTTTTATTTTAAATATACTTTTGAGAAAATTTTTCCTAATTTATATATATATATATATATATATATATATATATGTTTAGCTAATAGACACTTATTTGTTTTTATATCCATCACCAGATGATTTAATAAATATTGTTATCATGTCATTAATACGCATCGGTGACAATAGAAAATATGTAGAGCTTGTGTGGTGCCCGACTGATTGATTTTGTTATAGTTTGTCTCTTGGCCGTCTCATATAAGATAAGAGAAGCATGTTTGTGTCATATCATTCAGAATTCTCTTCCACTATTGAAAAGTTTTAACAAATTACTATCAATCCGAGTATCAATGCCAACTGGGTAAGAACTGCGACTATCAAGCCAGTGTTCGCGGGTTCGAATCTCAAGTGCAGTAAAGTTTTCTTTGATCGTGCTCCATAATATCTATTGACTGTGCACACACTCACAAGGATACAGCCTCCAAGTTTCTTTGCCTTTCCCTTCTTCTTTCAGAGAGTCGTGCTATACTACACGAACGGGGGACGAACCTCCGCTGAGTGATTGGTTATATTAAAAAAAAAAAAAAGGAAATTATCGAATTACATTTTCTACTAAGGTAGGATACAAGTGCAGATGAGAATGTTACGAAAATTTCTGAAATTTTTGTCCTTCTCAATAACTATCTATTATCTCTGCAATCAGTTTGTGGCATTTGTTAAGCAAAGAATCATAATCTGCCCGCTTATAAGGTCGCATTGAGTCACGATTTCAAGCCAAACGATAACAGTATGCTATAGAATTTCATTCCCCATATATTCACAAATTTGTTCCTCTTGGGATAAAGTGATCATCCGTTTCTTTCAATGACATAATAATGATGATCACTGCATGATACTGCTGATCGGCGGCATTTGAATGCCGCTTTAATGCGCCACTTAGCCAAAGAAAGAATCATGTTCGATAAGCGGCTTCCGTCATGGAAAAACGTGATAAGCGCTTTTAACAAAAAGTACCGGACTTAGTCAATATGGCAAAGTAAATATGATACACTTGCAAATTTCAATAAATATAAAGACTTCGTTGATGTCTGTCTGCACTTTGCAATTGCAATGCTATAGTTTACATATTTTCTATATTTTTCATATCGGATGAAAAATCTTATTTGTGGGAGTGCACGGATGAATGTATTGCAATAAGCCTTTTCGTAAATGTTAGTATATAAAACAAATCCATACCGTGTAGCGAAGAGGCTTGAATTAAAATTTTAGATAACTTCAATACTTTAGGGGATGCTTAATGGACTCATTTTCGCCTTGCCGTCCAGCCTTGCTTCAAGCGTTTCAAAAAGCATTGTGTTTTTGTCAATAATTTAATTAATGTAAATGAGCCGCAATGAGCTATACAGCTGTCAACAGACTTGGTATAATAGGTATGATGGGATATGAACAATAGGACCTGGTGAGTGACATTTTTTTATTTATGAATCTCTTGTGATGGATAACGTAGATGGGTTCGCGTCAAGACGAACACATAACTTTCTTATTTCTTTTTATGTGTATATGTTATCTCTCTTTCTCTATCTCTCTCTAGGTATTGTTTTTCATTTATTTATTTATATATTTATTTATTTCATTTATTTGCTTTATTTAATAATTTCATATTTGTTAATTTTTAAATTTTCAAGTTTTATTTCAATATTTTAATGAAATATATTTTGAAATTTTCTTAAATGAAACCTTTACGTTGCTTTTTGCTTAAAATGTTGGCAAACCAAATTATTATTAATAAATACAAACAATAAAAGGGAAAGTGGAAGCTCAAAAGTACTTTTATAAATAAAGACGGCTAATAATAATAATAAAAAAAGCTTTACTTATAAAATACGTTTTGTCAAGTTTTTTTTTTAAATAGTTTTGTAACACCTAAAAATATGCTTCGTATAAATAAAGTATATTCAATTTTATTAAAGCGAAGTTTCTCTCCCCACATGCGATGATGGAATTCACACAAAATTTCAAAACGTTTGCAACTGCATTCGAAACTAATAGCAAATCGATCAAGACAAAGAATGATCGATTAGATAATAAATTGTTTGATTTTTTATCCCAGAAAAAACAAAAAAAAAATAATAATAATAAAATGATGAACAGTTCATAACGGCTACTTCGCGACATGTATTCGCCGTCAGTTGGACGAATTGTCAGTGCTAACGTTCATCTAACCAATAATTTATTTTTATATATTTACATTTATTAAATTCATTTCAGAGACCGGAGACAAGCGTCCGCTTCAGGATGATTGCCGCGCAGTGTCTTATTGGTTTAACTTATCTCTATTTCCTTATCTTTTTCAACATTTGTAAAATATTTGGACACGCAAGTGATGATATAGAAGATTGGTTTTATGGGCAAAAACCAAAAGAGAAAATCAAGTTAAAAAATAAACAGATGTAACAAGTAAAGGCATTATAACGAGCAACGGCCCATTTATAATAACTTTTCAAAATAACACGTTATATGAAAAGTGGCCGAAAAAGTAGAAACGATCTCGTGTCCTCAAATCCTTCTCAGTGTTGTATACATTCGCACAAGCTTACCGCTAGTAATGCAGGGTAGAAAATCGTTAAATGCGAAAGTCAAGTTACATCTCTTAATAATAGGCGTTGTCAGTGTGGTCATAAATTGATTCAATGTCCTCTTTATCTTTCACTCACGAATAATCAAACGGATATTTCCACAGACATATATGTGTTCAAGCCTACAATACTCCACGCGCAGAGATTACTTTTCATTCACTCTAACTTTACTGCTTTTTTATAACTGAGATGCTCGATAGCAATAAAAAGTTCTCTTGCCTGCAAACAAAACCATTGTGGGCCGAAAATAGAATGATTAATGATCAGTCTTATTACCTAGGAGTTAATAAGAGCGAAACTAGAATTACAAAGAAATTTATGAATTGTAGCTAATCCAGGGTTATTTTCGCTAAATTTTATATTCATATCTAAGCGACAATTTTTACTATCATATGCGAATAAAGAGAACTTTTATTTAACTTTCTCTTTTCTCTTTCGCAATTACAAGAGTCATAATAATATATGACAAACAAAATCGAAACGATCGGTATATATATACATATACTGAAGACTAGCTATCTCTTCTATTCATCATTGCGTCGAATATATATATATATATATATATATATATATATATATATATATATATAGGCCGCGCGATACATACCTATGTATATAGATACATATCATATATAGACTGATAAATAGAAGAGACAATTACTTTTCGGTAACGACTGCAAGAAATGCACAAAAACTTGATGCCAAACCGCGTCATTGTTTAATGAAACTATTTTGCGAGTAGGGCGACAAAGATTATTGAGAGCGTTACTGCTCCTTTCCAAGTTAAATAATAAACTTTAGGTAATAAATTGTTATTCATTTAGAATCGATTTAATGAAGACTTTGTTTTAAAATCTCTTTTCCTTTTCCTCTCCTAAAAATGGTTCTTAGGTGCAATGAACTCTTGTTCGTTCGCTTAAAGAAATTGTATTAAATGAAATGTACCCTACAAGCAAAAGCAAGTTGTTTACTTCGGTTTGTGGAGCACCCTCTATATATATATATATATATATATATTCCCGAGAAAGAAAATAACAAATTATGAATAATAATTTATTTAAAACAAAAAGAAATAAAAAAAATAAAAAATAAATTAAAATCAAATAATAATAACATTCAAAATCAATAATATTATATATAAAAATTGCGCTTTTTTATAGGCCGTTCGCACTAAGATGAAAACTTATGCCAGGGAAACCGCGCAAAGTTCCTACTTACATGTGGCCGCCGCTATAATACACCCGAAGTGATCTGTTTTTACATAAGATTTTTCCATAGTCTACTGCCATGTTTTCAAAATTTTTCGTTTTTTTTTTTTTTTTGAGGTTAAAGATTGATCGGGAATTTATACATACATATAGATGTACATATATATCTATATATCTATATATATATATATATATATATATATAGATGTACATATATATCTATATAATTTTTTTTCGTTAGAATTTAGTTTCATCAAATGGTGTGACACGAATTATTAAGGTAACATTATGCATTTTCCTGGTCGGATTTATTTAAGGCCTCCCGACTTTGGTACCGATTATTATAAAATGAAAAGTAAAAAACTGAATTTATAAGAAGGAACCAGCGCCGTCAAATTAAGTACCCAATGTCGATTATAAACACTTGTTATGAGAATGTTTTCGTTTTGCACATTATGATGTTCCCGTTTGAATATATGATTTTTCTTTATAATTATAATATAACGGTAGCTTAAGATATTTTTTAAACCAAAATTGTCGCTTTCGACTTAGTGCTAACGTGCTATCATTTACTTTCTTTTCTCACTTTATTTTATTTGCTTTTATTTATTTAATAATTTCTCACAATACTTTATAGTAAGCACTGCCAGTAGAGTCAGCCTTTGAGAATATGACTAAAAACCAAGTTTTGATTTCACTAAAAAATTAAGTAAATTTTCTATAAAAAAAAAAAAAAAATATTTAAAAAAAATATTAACAATAATTTTTTTTATTTTTTAAAAAAGATTAAAACATATATTAACAATAATTTTTTTTTAAAGCATAAACATTAAATTTAGACAAATTTTAATAAATTTTTTTAAGCCAAATTTTTATTTATTTTTTTTATTAAAAGTTTCTTTGAATTTTGTACATTTTCTATATTAAGCTAATTCAATTATAATTCTACAAACGAACAAACGCGAACACATTCAAAATGTACCAGCAATGCTTACCGGATTTTCTGTCTTTTTTCGGTTAAAGCTTTTTCTTTTTTTTTTCTTCTTTTGTGTTTCTCTTTTTTTAAAACATATGTTGAGCGCTTACTATTTAATCGGTATACAAAAATCATAAAATAATATTAATTACAAAAAAAAAAAAAAAAAAAAAAAAAAATCATAATAAAATAATAATAATAATAATAATATAGTTGATAAAGCATTTAATAGCGACATTAGTTACAAATGGAAATGATTATGCGTGTTGTAATCTTCAAGTATGTATTGTTTGCTTTGCTCTAGCAACATAACAACATGTTGCCGGATTACCTTGCCATGCAAACTCCTATAGTATTTTAAGTTTCGTAGAATTTTATCTAAGGACTATTCGTGTTACAAAACAGTCTTTAATTTAGAACTTGGTTTTGTTGTTGGTGTTGTTGTTATTATTATTATTATTTTTGTTTTTGTCATTATTATTATTATTATTGGTGTTGCAATTTTTCTAAGAAAATGTTTTTCATCTGATTGCTTTTTGTAGAAACTTGTTACTTTATTATGTCGTCTCTGCGTTGCCCGATGAACCACTGCTGCCGTCGCATTGATGGCATTTCCGATTTTGACAATTGCAACTTGCTATTAGACTCTGCATGCTTGTATTGCTATCGTTGCGGGTAATGTTACCTGCGGTGGGCTGAAAATCCATTTGTGACCACTTATATCGATTGGTTGTTTGGGCTGTGGGTGAAATTGTAATGGGACTGCAACCGCTACTTTTTAACGTGTTTAAAGCCGATGACGTGGTAGTAGATTCTGCCACTAAACTATCTAATAACAACTGCTGCTGTTGTTGCCTTTGCTGTTGCACTTGCAGCTGCTGTTGCTGATGCGATGAACCAATGGGTACAGTCACCGATAATGGTGGCGTAGGTATGCGTTCCATATTTGAGGATGTTTGTAGGAATGTTGTGTTTACATTGACCGTAACCGATGACGAAACGCCCAACGTTGTTGATAACTGAGTGCTGGGCACATGGCCGGCCAATGCATTATTGCTAGAGCTACCATAACTGCACGGAGTAGTCTTTAGGCTGGATGTTGATGAGATCGGCAATGCGGCTATTGGTGCAGAGGTCAACGATGAAGCCGACGACGAACTTGATGCTGAAGATGATGCACTAGTTGATGCTAAAGATGAAACTGAGGACAACATTGATGTCGATGAAACCAGCGGTGATGAGCACGCCATTGATGACGATAAAGTGTTTGATAGCGTATTTGGAGATTTAGGGGAACTTTTCCGATAAAAGAACTTAGTAATGACATTCGGTTTAGATTTTGTTATACTGCCGCTACTAGTGCAACTGCTACTGCCACTAGAGCTGGTACTGGCCTGATACTGAGGTAAGGCCATAGAGGAATGCAAACCTGAGCTAGAGCTGTGTGTTGATAGCGTATAGAAATTATAATTGGACTGATCCGGAACGTCTTTAATGCTTTTATTTGGTGGCGGTTTTATATAGGATCGCGTTATTTCAGATTGCTAGGAGAAAAAAAAAACAAATAATCGCATTATTTATTGAAGGGAATGAATGATAAAACGCTTGTAAAGAAAATGAACAAATATAAATAAAATATATAATAAACTGACCTGATAATTAGTGCGTAATTGTGCGCAGCGCTCCTGACCCCATTCACTGTCCGGCAGTGGTACGTGATGAGGACAACATAGTGTTTGCTGTTTTTGCAAATGATATTGATAATGTTGATGATGATCGTGACTGTGACTACTTAAGGAACAACCAGACCTGCTGCTGCCACAAGATTCGTCTTTATTGAAATGGCCGCTCCCACTGCCCGTATTACCATATTTAAGGGTTGTGGCCTCTATGCCACCTCGTGCTATATTGCTATTGCTATTACAATTGCCACCGCTAGCGCCACCGCTGCTGTTAGTCATTGAGCTAATATTGTTGTTGTTATTATTATGATTATTATTATTGTTGCTAATACTATTAACGCCACTTGTCAAACTGCTGCCGTTATTCAGTGCGACTGCTGTTGCTTCTGCTGCTGCTGTTATTGCTGTTGTTGCTGTTGTTGTCGTTGTCATACGTTGTATGTGATGATTTTGATGATGTTGCTGTAGATTATCTTGTTGGTAGTGGGAATGTCCGTTGCTGCTGCTATCGCTATTATTAATGCCGATACTATTGCTGCTATTACTGATGTGATGATATAACAATTGTTGCTGTTGTTGCGGTTGCTTTTGGTTGCTACCAATATTGCTAATATTTTTACTAGAGGTATTATTGCAATTATTACTAGTGCCGTTAATGCTATTACCGCTGCTACTGTTGTTGCTGCGAATCACAGTTTCACTACGTACAGCCAACAATTCTCTTGCCGCATCTATACGCATTCTACAGATATATTGACCCCTGCGGTGAAATTACATTAAAAAAAAAGTTAATTAAGCTAAACTAGATTAAAAAAAAAAAGAAGCAGAAGAAGACGAAAATATAGAAGAAGACTGTTTACCTGGTATCGGGAGGTGTAGTCAATGATGTGCGGGTCGGAACGCCAAGCCGCTCCATTCCCGCGCAGCCGGCTGTCTGTACCGATAGCATCTAAAAATAAATAAATTAAAAATTCTATCATTTTTATAAAATTTCTATTGTTAATTAAAAATGTATTAATTAAATTACTAATCAATACCGTTTGCGGTACAGTTTAGGCTAAGATATTAAGTTTGTGCGAATATATATACAACACCTAGAAGGGCTTGAGATAGATTAACCTATGATTATAGCGATTGATTTTATCTCTTCGCCTATTCTTGTGCTCAATGCACAACACATTACAAATTTTTGTGATATTTCGGTTGAAATTTGGTAGACTGACGTGTTTGTGTTGAAAGTGATGCTGGATCGGAGCGTTGTGCGGAGCACCCCTTCCCATATAATGCTTTATTTTGCAAAGTCATAATTGTATTCCAGCGAAGCGTAAGGTGCAGGGCCTTGAGCGACTATAATGTTTTCATTTGTTATATGATTAGAAAAATATATTTCTTCGGAATTCAGTATACAATTAGTAACTGTGTGAACTCGTTTTTTGAAAGCAGCAATTATTGCTAAAGAGTTTAGCAGGTGAGCCTTCGCTCAGTGCAGATTGAAGAGTGTATAGTGCATAGTGCATGCAAAGAGCTGTCTCGTATAAATAATTGCTTTTAAATATGCTTCAGTTAGAATTGAAGGTTTTTCCTTTTTTTCATTTAAGCATTTGAAGATCAATGCGATCTTAGCCAGAAATTTGTTAAATAACGTTTTTTTCGGTTGATGATATACGCGCGAATTATTGTGCAGTATGTCGATTGCCTAATTAATAGAACAATATACACGGGCTTGCACGTAAATGTAAATAAATGTATGCTGACATAATCATCAACTATCAGAATCATGGCAATATAACAGCAGTTAAAGTTGGTTGTATTTATAAGGTAACGGACACAGTTATGAGCCATGTGTACATGATACTAGATAGCAGATTGACTATAGCAAGTATACAAACAAACAAAAAATCCAAATACACATACACACACACATATATATATATATATATATATATATATACAGATAATACCTAAACGGCAACCCCTTCTGTGAAGATATGTTTAGACGGTCGTACCATAGGAAAGAGTCAGCAGCATAGATATTTTTTATTGAGTTAGAGTCTCCAATGGCAAATTAGCCGGTTTGTTTTCGGTGGTTTCTCACTAAACGTAAGACAAACATATATATAAATTGCCACACACATATATATATATATATATATTTATATAGATATAGATTGTGTTAATTTTCCTTATACGTTGTAACATATTTATTTTTATATATACATACGTTCAAACACATGTGCTTTTATTATCTTCTTACATTTGTATTTGTTTGTTGTTGTGCTTATTTGACTTTACAAACATTTCCTTTCGGGCAAATAATAATTTAGCGATTTTATTATGGCAAATACTTTAAAAAGCTTTTTTGTGTGCAACATATTTTCAACTTTGTATACTTATATGCAAGAAAAAAAGAAAGCAAAAAAAAAAAAACAAAACAAAACGCAACACACAAAACAATAACAACAACTGTCTGAACAATTGTCATTGAAAGGAAGTGCATGCATTTACGTATATCACATACATGAAGTTATGTAAAGACACGAAAAAAAGTTGAAATACTTTGTATGTTTTGTCAGCGTGTGCGAATATAAACGTTTTGCTGGTTTATGGTCTAATATTCAAATAAACACACACACACACATATATATATATATATATATATATATATATATATATATATATATATATATGGAGCGGTATCATACACATACAAATGACTGGTGGTTGTAATGTTCTTCTAACATATTTTATCCTCGTGTTAGTGTGAATGTTAGTGTGTGTGTGTGTCTGCATTTTATTGTGTTATTGCAAATATACATGTCGTTTTGTTGATAATTTGTAAAGAGCACAGTACAAAGGTATTGCCAAATAAATCCCGGGAATCGCCTATTAAAACTTCTAGTTGAACCTCTTATGAGTACAAGTGTCAGCTCTAATAAGAATGCGAACTTCTGGTTCCATACCTGTTCACTGTGCTGTTTATGTGTTAATTGCCAGAAAGAGAGAGAGAAAGGGAGTGAGCAAGAGAGAAAGAGAGAAAGAAAGAAAGAAAGAAAGAAAGAAAGAGAGAGAGAGAGAGAGAGAGAGAGAGAGAGAGAGAGAGAGAGAGA